GGGACCGCGGCGGGAGCCCCGCGCCGCCTTCCGCCCCTTCCTGCGCCGATGGGCGCTGCGCAGGGAGCGGCCGGCCGGATGGTGGCGCGGGGCGGGGCAGGCGTTAGGGGTCTGACTCAGTTTCCCCTCTGGGTGGAGGGGGTCCTGACTCAGTATCCTCCTGGGGTGGGGGTGTGGGGTGAGCTTTGACTCAGTTTCCCCCCGAGGCCCATGGAGGCAGTTCTGACTTAGTTTTCTTGTTAGGGAAGCCTATATCTGACTCAGTTTCCTCTCTGGATGGGGGGTGGGGAGTGTCCTCCCTTAGTTTTCCTTATGAAAGTAGAGAAGGACCTGACTCAGTTTCCCCCAGTAAAGGGAGGACGCGAAACCCAGTTTTCCCTCAAGAAACAGGTGTTTCTGGCTCCTTTACCCCGACCCCTTAGTTTTACTGCGGCTTCCAGGTAGCGGGCCCTGACTCAGTGTCCCTCGGAGGGAGCCTCGCTCCATCTCCTCTCCGTGGGGAAGCAGGCCCTCCCTCGTGAGGATGGGAAGTGGGCTTGTGCTGACACTTGTCTCCCTCCCCTTGCAGACCTGTTCCCCCTCATCTTCTCCTCGGGTAAGTGGACCATCCTTTCTCAGTGGTTCGGGATGAGCTCCCCCGGGGGTTAGGGGCCATGGGGTCAGCCACCTGATGGAGGCGGGCCGGTGTCTCCCCAGCAGAGCCAGCCCAGGCTTCTGGCCCCTATGTGGAGATCATCGAACAGCCCAAGCAGCGGGGCATGCGCTTCCGCTACAAGTGTGAAGGCCGCTCAGCAGGCAGCATCCCAGGCGAGCGGAGCACGGATACCACCAAGACCCACCCCACCATCAAGGTCAGCACTGGCTCCCAGGGTTGCGGGGGAGGCACAGAGTCATCCGGGCAGGGCTCTGGAACCCCAGCGGCCTTGCTTCCAGATCCCTGTGCAACCTGTGTCTGGGAGTTGGGTCTGCAATTCCTGAGCCTCTAGGATGCTCTCTGTACTTTGCACAGATCAATGGCTACACAGGACCAGGAACAGTTCGCATCTCCCTGGTCACCAAGGACCCCCCTCACCGGCCTCACCCCCACGAGCTCGTGGGGAAAGACTGCCGGGATGGCTTCTATGAGGCTGAGCTCTGCCCGGACCGCTGCATCCACAGGTGAGCTCCCCTCGGACAGCAGAGGAGGGAGGGGGAGGTGGGAGGACCAGAGAGGGGGCAGTGTGTAGCTGTCACAGTGTTACTCCTTTCTGGACAGAGGGCTGAATTCCTCGCCAGCTCTGCAAGCAGATTCCCTTTGTCTTGAAGTTATCTGTTTGTGTGTCTACTCTCAAGCAGATGTGAGCTCCATGGGATAGGGATGGGTCCTTAATCACCTCTGAACCCCTAACCCCTGTGACTGGAGGGGCAAGTCCCTCAGTGTCACATCTCTTGCAGTAAGGAAGAAAACCACTGGACCAGCAGTCTCCCCTGGAGCTTACATACCAGTTGACAGAGGCAGGCCGTAAATAAATATACAAATAAATAAACAAGATACTGTTAGTAATAATTTCAGTGCTGAAAATAAAACAGTAATAGGCTGGAGGAATAGCCCGGAGTGGGGGAGGCGGGGGAGCTGGTCTCATTCCTTTGGATCAGGAGGTCAGGAAGGCCTCTCTCGGGTTAGATTTGAATGGTGAGAAAGCAGAGAAGCACAGAAAGAACATTCCAAGCAGAATGAACAAGTGCAGAGGCCTTGAAATGGGAATGAATTCAGTGTGTTTGGAGAACGGAAAAGAAGCCCCTGTGGCTGAGGGCAGGGAGCCAACGGGGACTAGGGCTAGGGCCAGGTGGCCGGGCACGGGCGTGTCAGCCAGAAGAAGGAGTGGGTGTCATTGCAGCACAGTGGGAAGCCATTCGAGGGGGTTAAGCACGGAGTGATCATCTGGTGAGTGGGTGGGAGAGGAAGGGGCAGACTGGGCGAGGTGGGAGGGCCCAGGCTCTGCTGGAGACAGTGGGACTGATGCCTGGGGGGCCTCAGCTTCCAGAACCTGGGGATCCAGTGTGTAAAGAAGCGGGACCTGGAGCAGGCCATCAGTCAGCGCATCCAGACCAACAACAACCCCTTCCAAGGTGAGGGGTGAGGGGGAGAAGGCCTGGGCCTGCCTGGAGCACCCCCTCCCTCTGTCCCCCTTTCGAGGCCACCTTCCCTTCATCTCTCCCTCATTGGCCAAGATTCACAGTATAGATGGCATCTTGCTGCCCAGTCAGTACACGCTCCCATTTTACCATTAGGGAAACTGAGACCCAGAGAGGGGACATGACATGTTGGGTCACAGGTGGAGTCAGTGATGGGTCTAGAACCTTCTCTTCCTCCTCCTCTAGGACTCCTACTGTTTCACAAGCCTTCAAACAGCCCTCCCAGCCCAGAGCTCCCTGCAGCCCCCTGCCCCCCGCCCCAGCTCTCCTGACCATCTGTTCTTCTGGCAGTTCCCATAGAAGAGCAGCGTGGGGACTACGACCTGAATGCAGTGCGGCTCTGCTTCCAGGTGACGGTGCGGGACCCGGCAGGCAGGCCCCTCCGCCTGTCGCCTGTCCTCTCTCATCCCATCTTTGACAATCGTGAGTGGCCAGGGAGTGCAGGAAGGGGAGAGGGATGGGCTGGGAGGAGGAAGGGGGTGGGGTGGGTGTGGCCTGTGAGAGGAGGTCCGGCTTCTTTCAGTCATCAGGCATATTCGGCGTCTCCTCTGTGCCCAGCTCTGTGCTGGCTGGGAGACAAGGCAGAGAAAACCCAGAGCTGCCTTCGAGGTGTAGCTTCCGGGCTGGCAGGGAGCCAGAGGGGAGACAGGCATTTCCAATATGTGATGAGAGGACGGTGTGGCCAGAACTGCGCTAAGGGCTCCAGAAAATGAACTCCCAGGCCCCAGATAATATTAGAGAGTAATAATTCAATGATGAAAGCTCACCGGAAATTCCCAGATGCATTGGGCTGACGTTGATCAATTGCAGTCTTTACTTAAGTAACCAGCAGGACAAATGAAAACAAAAGGGTTCTGGTGCCCCAAGGACAGGAAGCCAGGATGAACCGGGGCTCAGGAGAGAAGGCTTTGTGGCCAAGGTGTGTATGAACTGGGCCTTGAAGATTGCTTGGCCAGGTGGAGAAAGAGGAGGTGTGATCAGATTGGGTCCCACTAGACGGTGAGCTCTGTGAGTGCAGAGCTGTTCGGGTTTTGTGCGTTGTCATATTCTCCATGCTTGGAACAGTGCTGGGCACGTAATTGGCACGAGTAGATGTAGTTGCTGAATTGGTGGGGTAAGGAGCCCATAGGAATGGTGGAACTTGACTGCAGAGATGCAGTCAGCAAGCTCTGGACACCCTGAACTCTGGGCGGGGTAGGAGCCTGGCATCTCCTGCAGGCCGGCCTCGGAGACGCTGGTGGTTCAGGGCTTCCTTCCGTGTTCCCACACCCTCAGGCGCCCCCAACACCGCTGAGCTCAAGATCTGCCGAGTGAACCGAAACTCGGGGAGCTGCCTTGGGGGGGATGAGATCTTCCTGCTGTGCGACAAGGTGCAGAAAGGTAGACACCGGGAAGCAGGGCTGGACTCTGGAGCAGGAGTGAGGGGCAAGGCTGAGCAGAGATTTCGAGTGTCGGAACTGGCGCTAAATGCTCTCCCCACCACCGAAGGGCCGGCAGGGTGATATATCCCAGGAGACGAGTATCGACAGTTGTGGGAGTGGTGGGCCATGGGTGAGGTGAGCACACTGACCCACACTGCCGCCCCGTCTCCTGCAGAGGACATTGAGGTGTATTTCACGGGGCCAGGCTGGGAGGCCCGAGGCTCCTTTTCGCAAGCTGATGTGCACCGACAAGTGGCCATTGTGTTCCGGACACCTCCCTACGCGGACCCCAGCCTGCAGGTCCCGGTGCGCGTCTCCATGCAGCTGCGGCGGCCTTCGGATCGGGAGCTCAGCGAGCCCATGGAATTCCAGTACTTGCCAGACACAGGTACACAGCTGCGGAGGGTGGCAGAAGGGCCACTGGGCTCCAGCCAATGAGAGTGAGGCCGGGGCTGGATGTCTGGGGCTGCAGCTGAGTGTCAGAAGCTGGAGTCGGGCAGGGATTTGCACAGTAATCAGATTCTCTTTCTTGCTTAATTTAGTAATATTGATACCCCAGACTTATTGAGCTCTTTCTTATTACATGCCCTAACCAAGCATATCAATGAATTACCCGATTTTATTCTCTCAGGAACCTTTTGAGGTAGGAGATAGCATCTAGCTTGCCTCAGGTCACGTAGCCAGTGCGTCAGCATTTGAATCCAGGCCATCTGACCTCAGAGTCCTGTTGCCATGCTGTGTCTCTCATCACTACCACACAGCCGTGGTTTGGTCAAGGCTTTCAGGCATCTGACCACAGTAGGAACAGCCAGAATGACCCTTTATCCAAAGCCCATCGTCTTGAATGTTTTCTCCCCTGGGAGCAGTGTAATAGGGTTTGGAAAACAACCCTGAAACAGCCATCAGTTCATTCCACAAATAATTATTGAATTCCCACTCAGTGCCAGGGCCTGTGCCAGGTATTGTGAATACAGAGATGAATAAGATGTGTTCCCTGCCCTTCGGAAGCTCAGTCACAGGAGGAAGACACATGCAAAACAGATCCTTAAGTCACAGGATGACGTGTAAAAGAGGGAGGTGTGTGCAAAGTGCCAGGGAGCTAGAGACGGCTGCATGGAGGAGGGGTGGCATTTAAGTTGCAGAAAGACCGGGAAGCGCATTCTCCCGGCGGGTGGACCAGCACCTGGAAGGGCAGGGGTGTTGGAGAGTGCACCGCACGTTTGGGGGCAGCTTTTTGGTGGGAGCTGATGTTGGGCAGTGATTTCCAAAGTAATCAGGCAGGAGGGCCTTGAATGTTAGGCTCACGGCGCTTGTCCAGGGTTTCATCTTGAAACAGTGGGGAGCCACTGAAGGTTTATAAGCAGGGAAGTGACGTGTGCAGATCTGGACGCTCACTCTGGCGGCAGTGGGTAGAGGATCAGAGAGGGAGAGACTCGAGACAGAGAGGCCATTTTGGAAGATGTGTGGTCCGGGAAGAGAAGACGCTGCGAGAACCACGTGGAGGGAATGACAAAGCAACACGATCTCGTCTACCGCTGTCCTCCATGGGTACCCTTCAGCCCCACGAGCCCTTTGTGTCCGACACACACCAGGCTCAGGCCCTCCTCTGGACCTGGGTTCCAGCTGTTGCCTCTGCCTGGAATGCTTGGCCCTCAGATCTTCCTGTGACAGGCTCACACCAGTGCTTCCCCGGCCGCCTCTAAATGATTCCCTGACCTCACTACTGTTACGTCACTCTGTGTCTCTTCCTCAAAGCTCCTGTCACTTGTACATGGTTGTGTCCCTGCCTCTCTGTCACTGGGATGTCACCTTTTGGGAGCAGAAACCTTGTCTGCTTACTCAGGGCTGTATCCCCGCTGTCTAGAATGGAGCCTGGCACATAGTGGATGCTTGGTAAATATATGTCGAGTCAGGGAACGGTGGGGAGTGAGAGAAGGGAAGATGTTGAGGATGATTCCAAGGTTGTTAGCTTTGGTGACAGAGCACACAGGTGGTGAGGGAACATGAAATGAGAAAGAACCAGGTTTTTGAGGAGAGATGATGAGGCTGGCTTTGGACTGATGGTGTTGAGTACTTTGGAGTTATCTAAGTGCTGCGGTAGTTGGAAAGACAGTTCTGAAAGCTCTAGAGTGAACTATCAAACCCTCAGAGACAAGAATAAGAGTGTTGAAGTCATAAGCAAGCCAGTCATGCCTCAACTGCCCCAGAGTGCCAGGAGATCATCGCCAGGCCTGGATCGAGGCTGGAGATGAGCTAGGACATGAGCACTGGAGGTAAGCCAAGAAGCTGGAGACTAGGGCCCCAGGAGGGCTCCTGTCCCCCAGAGCATGGCCTCTTTACTTGGAGGCATCCATGTGGCCTTCAGAGGGGCAGAGGCAGCCAACAGAGGCCTTCTCAGAAAGCTGTGGGACTGTTCGAGTTGTTTAAGTGTCACGCAGCTCTTCTCATTGGCTGGAATGGTTTGGAGAAAGGGTCTTAGGAAAGCTTGGCTCATCATCTTCCTCCTGAGGGTCCTCTGAGAGCTTTAGGGGTCCAGCTAAGGAGAACAAGACCCACTTCCTATTACTTTTCCAGATGATCGTCACCGGATTGAGGAGAAACGCAAAAGGACATATGAGACCTTCAAGAGCATCATGAAAAAGAGTCCTTTCAATGGTGAGAGGGGCAGTGGGGAGAATTGGAGAGAAGGCAGTAGGCAGGGCAGGGGAGACCCTGGGGGCCAAGAACTGACCCAGCCTTGCCCTGCAGGACCCACCGACCCCCGGCCTCCACCCCGGCGCATTGCTGTGCCTGCCCGCAGCTCAACCTCCGTCCCCAAGCCAGGTAAGGGTTTCCTGTTGTTCTGGAACTACAGGCTCAAATCCGTTCAGCCTGTGGTTTAGACACTTTCTGGAGGAGAGGCACCAGCAGGTGTCTGAAGCCTGCTCTCTGTTGGGCTTGTGTTTTTCAGGGTTTGAGGCCTAGTTACCTACGTCAGAGCCATCTGGGGAGGGGTGAAGGTGCAGATTCCTGGGCCCCATTACAGACCTACGGAATCAGAGGGTTTGGAAGTGTGGCCCAGGAACCAGCAACTTCCTGGGGATGCTAATGCACACTGAAATCTGAGAACTGCTGTGCCAATTAAACCCCATATTGGATGCCTTGGGGTACAGAAGTTAAAAAATGCACAGTCTCTGCCCTCAGCTCTCAGTTGAATTAGGGAAAAAAATCACCTCTAGAGAAGCAGAATGTGGGGTTGGCCCGGTTAGCCGGCGTAGCGGTTAAGTTCGCATGCTCTGCTTCGGCAGCCCGGGGCTCCCAGGTCCAATCCCGGGTGCTGATGACGCACCGCTTGTCAAGCCGTGCAGTGGCAGTGTCCCGTATAAAGCAGAAGAAGATGGGCACGGATGTTAGCCCAGGGCTAATCCTCCTCACAAAAAAATAAATAACAAATAAAGTAGCAGAATGTATGTGCTGGTGTGGGCCTCAAAAAAAAGTGACAAAGTCACTCAAAAAAGTGTGACGAGTGCCCTGCTTCAGGCCACTACTCACTGGGTGCACCCTGGGCCCAGGCCCTCTTGAGGCTTGGTTTTTCAGCTGTAAGAAGAGGTTTTACCAGCTGATCTCTGAAAGCATCCCTTCCTCTAAAAGGCTGAGAGAGCTTTGGGGGCTGGAGTACACAGGGAGGGCTCCAAGGAGGAGGTGAGACTGGAAGTGGGCCCTACAGGCTAGGTCAGCTCTTCTCATTGGCTGGAATGGTTTAGAGAAAGGGTCTTAGGAAAGCTTTGCTTTCCTAAGGTGCTCGCAGTGACTCCATAGCACTAATGACAGGCCCTGGGGTACAGAGGACAGGGTGGGTCTCTGAGGCTTTCTCTGACCCCTGCCTCTCTGTCTCTCCTCCAGCTCCCCAGCCCTATCCCTTTACGCCATCCCTCAGCACCATCAACTTTGAGGAATTTTCCCCCATGGTCTTTCCTGCTGGGCAGATCCCAAGCCAGACCTCGGCCTTGGCACCAGCCCCTGCCCCAGTCCTGGCCCAGGCCCCAGCCCCTGCCCCAGCCATGGCATCAGCTGTGGCCCAGGCCCCAGCCCCTGTCCCAGTCCTAGCCCCAGGCCTTGCTCAGGCTGTGGCCCTGCCTGCCCCGAAGACCACCCAGGCTGGGGAAGGGACACTGACGGAGGCCCTGCTGCAGCTGCAGTTTGATGCTGATGAAGACCTGGGGGCCCTGCTCGGCAACAACACTGACCCAGCCGTGTTCACGGACCTGGCATCCGTCGACAATTCAGAGTTTCAGCAGCTGCTGAACCAGGGTGTATCTATGGTCCCCCATACAGCTGAGCCCATGCTGATGGAGTACCCTGAGGCTATAACTCGCCTGATGTCAGGGTCCCAGAGGCCCCCTGACCCAGCTCCCGCTCCCCTGGGGGCCTCTGGGCTCTCCAACGGTCTCCTCTCAGGGGATGAAGACTTCTCCTCCATTGCGGACATGGACTTCTCAGCCCTTCTGAGTCAGATCAGCTCCTAGGGAGGTGACACCTGCCATGCCCAGAGTGCTGGGTCGCAGGGGATTGAAGCCCTCCAAAGCAAGCACTTACGGATTCTGAGGGTTTGTGCTCCAACTGCCCCCAACTTCTTTCGGTGATACTTTCCTGGGGAGGGGGGGTGCATTTTATTCTTTTATTGGCAGTATCTCTCTCTCTCTTTTTGGAGGTGCTTAAGCAGAAGCATTAACTTCTCTGGAAAGGGCGGACCTCAGAGCATTCAAACTCTTCCTTCCCCCATCCTGATGTTTAGCTCCCTTTTCTCTGTAGGGAATTCTGGGGGCCCCCATCCTCACCCTCTAGCTTCTAGTACTCTCCTAGAGAGAGTGACAGGCTGGAGCTATGGCCTTTGAGGCCGCAAAGCCTTATTACCAAGTGTCCTCAAATCATGGATTCATTTACACCTTGAGCCAGAATAATGCCCCTGTTACCAGCCCCTATGGTGCTGGTATTGTCCTTGTTCCTAACACCAGCGTTTGAGGGGCTGGCCTTCCTGCCCTGAGAGGTCTCTGCCAGCTCATTCCTTGCTCATCTGTGGCTGAAGGGAACTGGTGGGACAGCACTGGCCCTCTCCATGATCCAGGGAGGTTTGGTCTGAGACTTCTCGGTTCCCCCTTTTCTCAAGTGCCTTAATAGTAGAGGGAGTTGTTTGGAGAGTGGGGGGAGGGCAGGCTGGCAGCTCTCCAGTCAAGAGGCTCAGTTTATACTGAAGTATCAAAGCAGTTGGACTCTTGCTGTTTCTACTCTGAACTAATAAATTCATTGCCAAGCTGGCCAGAGATCTGCCTTCTTTCAGCGAACACTCAGCACACTCTTTGCTGGTCATGTCAGGCTGGACATTGGTGATACAGAATTGGATGAATATTTACACTGTCATCTGGGAGCTTGCAGTCCGAGGATGCCCTTGGAAACCCCTGGTTTTCATCAAGTGGATGAAAGCAGGCAGCTAAAGTGGATGGAGTCCCAGCGTAGTGAGAGCCCACCCAGCGGGGCCGCTGGCTGTGGGGATGGAGCGTTTCAGGAAGGGCTTCACACAGAGACTACGTTAGCTTCAGGTCTTGGAGTAACAGAGGAGGGTGGGTCTCGCAGAGGGGCTAGCCAGCGTTTGTAAGTGAGCGGGCTAAGACAGCCGATGTGGGAGAAGTTGGATGGGGCCAGGCTGTAGATCAAGAACGCTGGGCTAAGAGGTTTGGACTGCATCTCTGGGCTGGTTAAGGGAGGGTTTGCGTCTGTTAGGGAAGGGGAGCTGCCAGGTAAAGGTCTGTGGTTTGATACTCTGTTCTGCTTCTGCAAGGACAGAAGAAGTCTTAAATCCGTAGCCCCAGGAGGCCTAAACAAGAGTCCTGCCAAAGCCCGAAGCGCTAGCGCGGGACGCACTTCCGGTTTCGCCCGACGCACGCGCAGTAAAGCAGGGTCAGCGACAGGCCCCGGAGGGCTAGGCCCTGCCTTCTCAAGTGCGCATGCGCACAGATATCATTCTGCGACAGTGAGGCCAGGCAATACGCCTCAGAAAAACGCGTGTCCTGAGAGCAATGGCGTTTATGTTCCGGGCTTCGCACTGTTGCAGGAAAGTGAAGGGAGGGGCAAGCGGGTTATCAGTGGGACGTGCTGCAAAGGCCAGCGAGTCCCCTGGGAACACAGGAGACTTTGGGTGCAGACTCAGATGGACGGTGTCTACGAGGGAAGATGCCGGCGGGCGGCGGAATGTTGGGGAACCAGCAAGCGTCTAGACAGTTGAGCTCGCGCTCCAGCCTCTAGGCCAAGGGGCGGGGCCTGAAACTGGGTGGACCACTCAGGGACCAGGCCAAGCCGCACTTCCGCCCGAGGGGCGGAACCCGAGTGTGGTGGCCCGCTCAGGACCCGGGCGAACCTGTCGGGAAGCGCCTGGGGGCGGGAGTTGGTGGAGCCGCGGCGCTGGGGGCGGGGCTTGATGGAGCCGCGGCGCTGGGGAACGGGGCCGGGGCGAGAGCGAGGAGGGACCTGGCGGGTGCGAAGACTCTTAACCGGAGGAAGCGGATGGCGGAGCTGCCCGCAGTGGGGCCCACCTGAGGCCCAGAGGGGAACCAGTGAGCCCAGGTCCTCCAGCCCAGGCCGCACTTCCCTTTTCTTGGCTTCCCCGGTGTCCTGCAGTGCCCTACCGTGACCCCTGGAAGCCTTCTCATGGTCCTTCCCACACTCCCTGAGTGACCACATGATGCTCTTGGCTCCCCAGTCCCAAATCCTTATCTCCAGCCCAGACCTGTCTCTCCTGCGCGCCAGCTCACTGGACATCTCACGCCGACATCCTTCAAGCCTCTCAAACGCACCGTCCAAGACCGGAGCCATCCCCAGCCTGCCCCTCCCCCTCCCAGTCCCTGGCCCTGCCATCCTCCAGGGGCTCCAGCCAGAAACCCGGCCACCGCTGTGGATGCTACATCTTCTCCCCTAGTAACCCCAGTCCACTGCCTCGCCAGGTCCCGGCAAGTCCGCCCACGTCTCCCCATCTCCACCGCCATCACCTAGTTTGAGCCACCACGACCTCCCACTGGGGCTGCAGCTACAGCCTTTCTGCCTGGCCTTGCCTTCCCTGCAGCCAATGGGCTCTGACACCCAAATCTTACCTCATCACTCCCTCTGAACATCTATCAACCACGGGACCAGATCCCAGTTTTCTGCAGACAGGCCCAGAGAGTGACCAGAGCCTTTCACACTGCCCGGTGAGGGCTGCTCACGGTAGTTCATACCAGGTAAAAGCTGGGACACGGTGTGGGGGAACTGCTAGTACAGGACCCCTAGTGCACCCTTCACAGCCCTTTCTGATTCAGCTCCAGCCTCCTCGCCCCTGGGTCCCTGCATGTGCCCTGAATCCAGTCCAATAGGCCCCCAGTCTGGTCCCATCCGGGTAGCTTTGACTTCTCTGCCTGGTGAACCCCTATGCAACCTTCAAAACTCAGCCCTCACATTACCCCCTCCATGAAGCCAAATCCCCTGACACTGTTTCTCAGAGCCTAGCTCATCCTACCAAAGCCTAGTGGACCCAGGGCCTGGGTCTCAGCAGGGTGAGCCTCAGCCAGCCTGGGAAAGGGGCTGGACTCGGCATGTGATGCTGGGCAAGTCAGTGCCCTCTCTGTGCCTCAGATTCAGAAAACAAGGGGTTTGGACAAAATCCAAGTTTGGACCTGCTGATGCTGCTCATGGGAAAGGGCCCAGCCTGGTGGGGAGAGAAGTGGGTCCAGGGCTGATTTCCTCTGGGACATGAAAACGTCTCCCAAGCAACTAAGGCAGAGAAGCTGCCCCTCTGGAATTGGGCCTTCAAGATCTGGCCAGGTGGCCAAAGTGCCAGGCTTGGGGGCTCAGTGACTAAAGAGAGGTGGGGCCCACGCTGGGGGGCGGGGCCTTGCAGGGTGAGATGGCCTTTATAAGGGGGTATGGTCAGGCTCTCCTTGACCCCTGGGCTCTCCCTCCCCTGTCCTGCAGGTCTGCCTTCTGCCCCTGATCTCAGCCCCTCAGTTTGGTTCCAGGGCAGGGGCCTGGCTGGGCCTGGCTCAGACGACAAAGCAGAGTAGGTGTGGGGTGTGGCCACCTGCTTCCCAACAGACCAAATAGTTTGTGGGAGAGAAGCCAAGGGGTGGCCGAGCCTCAGAGAACCCTTCAGTGAGTGCCAGCCCAACCCTGGGCCAGTGTTGCCAGGGCCTGCCCTTCTAACTGGTCCCAGGAGCTTGGCTGGGGCCTCTGGGGGAAAACCCCTTCCCCTGTAATGTCATGAACATGCGTACAGACACAAATAGCAGTGGTTTCTTTACTCCTTGAAGTCCTATTTTCTCCACAGAATATTTACAAACAGGGACGTGGCAAGGGCAACTTCGCCACCAAATAATGGGCCGGGCAGTGGGGGCAGTGCTAAGATGCGCCTATGCGCAGGGGCAGTTCCTGAGGAAGGCCAGGGCCCGGTGTGCCCCGGGGCCCTGAAGGTCCTGGGCAGTTCGGAGCAGGTCCACGGGCAGGCTGAGGCTGGACCAGGCGGCTCAGGCCAGGTCAGCGGTGGGCGGGCCTAGCTGCTTGGAGGCCAGGAGCAGGCGGGTGGCCGCGCTCTCCGACTCAGCCTGCAGCCGCCGGTTGTTGTGCCGCAGGCTCCGCACTTCCTCCTCCAGGGCTGCCTTGTCTGCCTTCTCCTGGGGTAGGGGGAGCAGGAGTCAGTGGCCTGCCCCTGTCCTGGGGCAGCCCTGTGATTCCCAGCTGACCCCAGGCCCACCCAGTCACCTTCTGCAGGTCATCCTGCAGCTTCCTGAGCATGGACTCCAGGTGACAGACCTTCTCCGACAGGTTCCCGGGTTCTGGCCTGAGGACACGGGGGTCAAGACTCAGCAGGATCAGGGCAGGGGGCAGCAGCACAGGCTGGCTCCCAGACCCACCTGAATGAGAGGGGCCTAACCCCAATCGTCTCAAACTTAGTGTCTGTGAAAGCAGAGCTCGGGACAATGCTTAACTCCAATGGATGTGCACAGACAGTGGTCACCGAGGCACAGTGAAGGGGCTAGGTGGGGGCAGGGAGCCTTACTCAGCATCAGAGTTTGGAGTTCCCTTAGCATCTCCGCTCTCTGGGATGGGCTGTCCTGTGGGGACAGAGGGACCGTTTGGACAGGTAAGTAAAGGGAACAAGAGCCCATCCTGGCTCCTACCCCCAGCACCCTGGTAGCCGTAGCCTCACCCTCCCGGGACAGCGACTCCAAGATGGTGTTGCAAGTGGAGGCGATCTCCGAGATGGACTGCCACTCATCTTCCAGGGTCTCGCTGCCCGCCTCTGACATGACTGTGGGCACGAGGAGGTGGGCTCAGCCAGGGAAGCTGAGGCCAACTCCCCCCCCCCCCGCCGCCCCATACCCCACCTTGCTCCAGACTTACTTTTGCTGATGGAGTTGCGCAGAGACAGGGTTCGTGGCAGGAAGGAGGCCCTCAGCTCCGGGGCCGGGTTGTCCCTGTCCTCACAACCATTGGGGCTGCCTGGCCCGTCCTGGGAAGCAGAAGTGGGTATGGATGCAGTGACACCCACCATCACCACTGTGCACCCCCCATTTGCTGGGCTCCAGAGCCTCGTTTCTGCCCACCTGGGTCGGGGGAGTCTCCCTGCCAGTGCTAGGTGTGGCCGGCTTGGCGGTGGTAGCTAGGAGGAGGTCCGGGGTGGTGTTGGGCAGGACTGGGGCCTCATCTGACAGGGAGCTGGGGAGAACAGGGACAGCTCAGCACTCGACACTGTACCGCGTGGCCCCTGCTTTCAGAGGCCTGCCTGTCCAGCCTCAGGGGGCTGGAGAAGAGGGAAGGCCAAGAGGGTGCACCTGTGGGGTGATGGTGAGTTCTGGCTGTGCAGGAACTCAGTTCTCTCCTCCGCCAGGTCCCTGGGCCCTGGAGGACCACCGCCATCGTTCAGGCACAGATGTAGCAGCTGCTTTGTGGCAGGCAGCAGGACCAGCCTCGGGGCCTCATCCTGCACAGGCTCTGGGGCACCCCGCCGGCTGGGCTCCTGCAGAGACAGTGTGTACAGCTCCGAAAAGCTCCTGGGGGGAGGAAGGGGCAGTGTCAGGGACGCCCTGCCCCCAGCATCCTGCATTGCCAGCCCCCTCCCAGCTGTGCCTGAGGCTCACTTCCAGGAGAAGGAGGAGAGCTCTCCAACTCCCTAACAACAACGAAAACTGTTTGCCTGGCTACTGGCCATTTTCCCAGATCTAGGTTCAATCACAGTGCTACCCCTATGTATCCTGGGCAAATCACTCTGAATATTCACTTCTCCATCTGTGAGATGA